GGTTTCAAATGCATCTGAACACACCAGGGAAAAATCTCGTTGCATAAGTGCGCTCTTATGGACTTTCTGACCGTTCTTGGACTTTCGGGAAGAAAATGAATGGTCGTCAGGGCCATGGCTTCCATTGGTTCCAATGAAAAATCACCGCTCTCGAAGTTGACGAACGACGCATGTTCATGTCCCATTTGCGATGTGCCATGCCGTCTCGGAACCCTTAAAATACGACAAACATGGTGGCCTACGATCAACTCAGAGCTGCACGAAGGTCTTCAAAAAACCCTGCTCACAACCATATGATCATAATTAGAAATGTATGGAATAGGAACTACTGGGTCATGTAGAAATCATGAATGCTCAATTGGCCGCGCCCGTCCGGTCTGGGTCTCGTTGCAGTGCGTGTTGCAAATGCACAGACGGACAGCTGCACATTATCCTCTTACCAAATGAGGCATTTGAGAATGAATGGGTCTGAATGGAATTGGACAAAAGCCTTAAGGAGCACAGTCCTCCTTTTTGATGAATTAAAAAGAGAACAAGTTGGAATAGAGAAGTTTCAAAAAAATTACATTTCCAGGGCTGTATTAGTGGATCTCGAGCCTGGTACCATGGACTCGGTACGCGCAGGCCCATTCGGACAGTTGTTCCGCCCAGATAATTACGTCTTTGGTAAGTCACATATGCGGAGGATAGGTTCTACAGAGCTGTGCCTGTGTGCTGTTGATTAAGCTTCAGAAAAAAGCGTTTTTGATAAGCTGCAAAGGTGTAAAACTTGGACGTGTGAAGCTTTCGCTCTTTTGAATATGTGTGAAAGGAAAGGCTGGATACTGTAATTCCAGGACAATCTGGCGCTGGCAACAACTGGGCTAAAGGTCACTACACAGAAGGTGCAGAACTTGTCGACAGTGTGCTCGATGTGGTGAGAAAAGAAGCCGAGGGTTGTGATTGCCTCCAGGTCAGTGCATTTCCAAATGTCCTGGACAGGTTTCAGCATACTGTAGATAGAACGAGCCTTTCAGGGTTTCCAAATGACGCATTCTCTTGGCGGTGGCACAGGTTCCGGTATGGGTACGCTGCTGATTTCGAAGATTCGTGAAGAATATCCCGACAGAATTATGAATACATTTTCGGTGGTGCCCAGCCCGAAAGTCTCTGACACGGTAAATAAAAGTCGCATTTATTGGTAGGAGTACGGGTGAAAGTATTATTATATTATTTAAGAGGGATTCTAGGCAAGCAGGTCTCTAAGCTCCATCAAAAAAATGCCGAGTTTTCAAAGAGAGAAGGCGGGCTTTCGACAGAATCCCCTCCCGTCTGAACGGGGATTCAGAGCGAATAATACTCCCTACTTACAATGCTCGACCATAAACTTCCTGGAATTTCGGGGGAACCTGGTGAGAAATAAAATAGGCTGTGGAGTGGGTCGTAGCAAATGAGAAATAGGAGGAGGAGAAAGAAACAGGTTGCAAGAACTTTCACGGACATGTATACGTGCCCTGTACGAATTGGGTTTGAATTAGTAGCTGGCATACATGGAGCTGGACCACACTGACTAACATTACACGGTGGTGGCTAGCTGGCTCAAGCGTATCACTGTGTCCTTCCCATCATTGATTCACATCT